TTTTTTCTTTACTTTCTTTCTTTCTTTTTCTTTCTTTCTTTTTTTCTTTCTTTCTTTCTTTCTCTTTCCATCCTTTCTTTCTCTTTTTCTTTCTTTTTTTCTTTACTTTCTTTCTTTCTTTTTCTTTCTTTCTTTTTTTCTCCCTCTCTCTCTCTCTCTCTCTCTGTCAGGTGTCCACCCTTGGCAACCTGAAGACTTCAACTCCCAGAATTCCCCAGCCAGCTGTTCTTTGTGAAGCCTTCAGCTATGCTGGCTGAGGAATTCTGGGAGTTGAAAGTCCACAAAATCCTAGCCGCGTTGTGTGTCACAGAGACTTTCCTTACAAGGCTTGGGAATTATTCCGTTATGTGTTACAAAACCTACGCGCACCGGCAGAGCAAATCAGCCTGTCCCACACTGCCACACCCAGTTCAAGAAAACAAAACTCCAGCTGCCACCTCCTTTGACAAACAGAGATACATTCCCAAGATAATCCATATATGTTTAGAATAGAATTCTTTATTGACCAAGTGGGATTGGACACACAAGTCTTGGTGTAAATGCTCTCAGTATACATAAAATAAAAAAATGCATTTGTCAAGAATCATCAGGTAAAACACTTAATCATAGTCATAGGGTACAATCAACAATCAAATCATACTAGGAAACAGTCAATATAAATCGTAAGGATACAAGCAACAAAGTTACAGTCATACAGTCACAAGTGGGAGGGGATCGGTGATAAGGAGTGATGAGAAGAAGTGTGATTGGACACACAAGGAATTTGTCTTTAGTGCAAATGCTCTCAGTGCACATAAAAATAAAAAAAAAATACATTCATCAAGTACCATAAAGATTCAACACTTAATGATAATCATAGGATACTAATAAGCAATCAAATCATACTAGGGAACAATAAAACAATATAATTTGCAAAGATACAAGTAACATGGTTATAGTCATAAGTTGGAAGAGATAGGTAATAGGAAGGATGAGAAGAAGAATAGTAATCCAGAGGGTTTTAAGAAGAGACTATTGTGTTATTTTTCGTAAAAACGGGCGTCACAAATTATGAATGGTGCAGGAGTAACTGGACCAAGCAACAGTTAAAAACCTACAGGCTAATCTCAGAAGTAAAGCAATAAGAAAAGATTAAATTAAGATTAAATAAGAAAAGAATTCAAGCAGATCCGTGCTTCTCAAAGAATCACTAAACTTTCCAACGGTAAAATCAGTGCCAAAGGCCATCTCATTAAATACAAGGTTTCCAACGTCCTAAATGCATGTTTATTTATTTATTTTTTTTAACAAAAACCATAACTAAAAGATCCTAAGCCTTGTACCAAAAGTTACAAAAGTATCTTCCCACCAGCTCGCAACCCTAGAGTAACAGGTACAGTATTTCAGAAGGCTACAGATGTGAAAATATCTGCCGAGATAACATTAGCTATATTAATAAAAATTTCTTCCGCAGCTTATTGTCAGAACCCTCGTCTCGAGTGCCTTAGTTAGCAATTCTCGCATCTTGTCACGAGGAAGAGAAGTGAATGGATTAAGAAAAGTGTTACAAACAAATCCTGCAAGACAAAAACCGACACTTTGAAAGTGACCTTCAAACAAAAGAATCTTTTCTACCCCCCCAAAACAATAAAACTAAAGTTGTTTCTTCCAAGGTTGGAGTAACTTTCCAAGAGAGCGTTTAAGCAGAAGTAGGAAGACGCGGGAACCACCCTATATTATCTAATGTAAAGGAATTTAGAGATGACCTCGGAGAACATATGAAAGAGCAATTGAGGAAGGAAATGGAGAAGAGGTTACGGAGTCCAGAAACTGAAAGAATTGTGAGAAAGGAGACAAAATGACCCTGCCTTGATTTAGTATAAGATTTTAGAATAGAATAGCAGAGTTGGGACCTTGGAGGTCTTCTAGTCCAACCCCCTGCCTAGGCAGGAAACCCTACACCACTTCAGACAAACGGTTATCCAACATCTTTTTCAAAACTTCCAGTGTTGGAGCATTCACAACTTCTGGATGCGAGTTGTTCCACTGATTAAATGTTCGAACAGTCAGGAAATTCCTCCTTAGTTCCAAGTTGCTTCTCTCCTGGATGAGTTTCCATCCGTTGTTTCTTGTCCTGCCTTCAGGTGCTTTGGAGAATAGCTTGACCCCCTCTTCATTGTGGCAGCCCCTCAAATACTGGAAGACTGCTATCATGTCTCCCCTGGTCCTTCTTTTCACTAGACTAGACGTACCCAATTCCAGTAACCGTTCTTTATACGTTTGATCCTCCAGTCCCCTAATCATCTTGGTTGCTCTTCTCTGCACTCTTTCTAGAGTCTCAACATCCTTGTGGCAACCAGCACTGGATGCGGTATTCCAAGTGTGGCCTTACCGAGGCCCATTAAAGCGATATTATTTACAAAGTCTGCACTACTCTTATTGCTAATCTTCTCGTAACTCCTTATCGCCCATCCCCTCCCATTTGTGACTGTATGACTGTAACTTCGTTGCTTCTATCCTAACAATTTTTATTGACTGTTTCCTAGTATGATTTGATTGCTCATTGTACCCCATGACTATCATTAAGTGTTGTGCCTGATGATTCTTGACTCTTGATGAATATATCTTTTCTTTTACGTGCATTGAGAGCATCTGCATCAAGACAAATTCCTTGTGTGTCCAATCACACTTGGCCAAGAAAGAATTCAATAGAATTCAATTCAGTTCAGTTCAGTTCAGTTCAGTTCTACTCTACTCTACTCTACTCTACTCTACTCTACTCTACTCTACTCTACTCAGTTCTGTTCTGTTCTGTTCTATTCTATTCTATTCTTATTCTATTCTTATTGTACCCTATGACTATCATTAAGCGTTGTACTTGATGACTCTTGACTCAGTTTTGACCGTTTTTCATACTTACGGCCACTGCAACATCCCCAGGGACACAAAATCAAAACTCAGATGTTGGGTAACTGATTCGCATTTATGACGGTTGCACTGTCCCATGTGTGTGTGTGTGTCTGTGTGAGACGTGATTACCCTTTTGGGGAGCTTCTAACCAGCGAAGCCAACAGGGAAGCTGGATGATTTGCTTAACAACTGGGTGGCTAGCTTAACACCAGCCGTGTGCCAGGACTCCAACAAATTCACCCTCATTCAAATCATAAGCCTCTAGCTGCATCTCAGGGAAAATAAAATTTATTAGAAGCAGCCATGTTGGCGTTAGCTGGATGCGGCGGATACTAAAATACATCATTCATTTCCCCCTTGACCCTGGTCTTTCCCCCCACCCCCTGGATGTATATTCTCCAATGGGCCCCCGCCAGGGCCAAGAGTCATCAATCATGCTCTCCAGTAATAGTCTTGCCAACTTTGGGCTGCCAGGGCGATTATCTAGGCACTGTTTCCCCCGCCCCCTTTTTGCTGGCACCTAAAATGACCAAAGGAGCACCTTTTTAGTTGACACTGTGATTTACAACTGTGGCAAGAAAGGTCATAAAACAGGGCAAAACTCACTTCACAAGTGTCTCACTTAGCAACAGAAATGTTGGGCTCAATTGGGGAGTCGTAAGATGAGGACTACCTGTCTATAGGATCCTACAACAATAAAGTAGCATTCCTGGCACCATCATCGTGTCCATTTCTTGAGCTGGCCTACCTCAAACAGCTGCCCAGAGACAATCACACTATCGCACAAAGATCATAATAAATCTTGCGTTCGCGGGCCCACTTTCTCCCTGTTCCAAAATGGGAGTAATTTTATTTAATCCTCATCCCAAATCCATAAATTAAGCTAACTTAGGGGGGGGAAAAGGCAAGAGAAACTGAACAGGAAATTCCTACTCCTCTTAGGTCTAAATAAATTTGCAACGAAGGATTAAAAACTTTAAATAATAGTATCTGGCGTAGGTTCTGTTCCATTGTTAGGGACTTGGAATGACAAACTTCAAAGCCTTTGCAGCAAGATCCAGGCTTTTCGGCAGAATTATGAGGAAAGCGACAGGAAATGTGTCTTAAAAGCTGCAAAATCAAATCAAATAGCAGATGAAATCTCTGCCAGATTATGAACAATAACACTCCTCCCAGCAGAGATTCAGCGACTAGTCATATTTAGCAAACACACACATATATATATATATATACACCTTGCATTTAAAAGGGGAGCAAACAGCAGCAAAATCTTGCTGAGGCACAGCAGCACAACCCCAAAACCTAGCTTTCAAGAAAATCTTTCAAGAAAATCATTGTCGACGTGGCTCTGCTCATACAAGGCTTGCCGAATAGTTATTTACTCTGATCAGGGAACCTCAAACAGCAGATCAGAAGCGTTCTCTACAATCCTTGTTTAGTATTCACTTCCAAGAACAACTATCATTTTTACGTTGTTATATTATCTATATAAGAGGAAACAACATTTCCCTACTGGAGAAATGAACGACTTGAAACAAATCTGACTAATCTATTTAGCACAATCATGTTTACATTTTGATCTCTTTTTTTTCCTCCTCTCCATCTTTCATCAAGAAGTTGGCAGTACAATTAAACCCCCTTCAAGGCTTCAACTTCAACACACACACACCCTTGGTTTAACGCAACACTCTACACTACCGTAAGCTAAAGCAGATATGGGTAGTTTGTGGCTTACAGTAATACAGGAACCAAGCGATCGTGTTAAAGCACAAAATGGCTTATTTGTTCCAGTGTATTATGTGAAGAGAAGCAACTATGTTTTTATTCCTAGCTCTGTAGTGGACAAAAAAGCTCTACAGAGAATCATTAAAACTGCCCAGAACATCACTGGGCTCCAGATACCAGCCCTGGATGGCATCTTTGCATCTCGCTGTTTGAGGAAGTCGCACAACATTCTCAGAGACTCTTCCCATCCTGCTCACAATCTTTGTGAACTGTTGCCTTCTGGCAGAAGATACAGAACAATTAAAACTCGGACCACGCGTTTTCTGAATAGTTTTTATTCCAGAACTAAATTGCACTTGACAGTGAACTTAAGGGCCACCATCAGTGAGCTGTTGGACAGTATTATTTGGTCTGTTGTGTGGACGCTTGTGTGTTTTTAGGTGGGTGGGGTGGTGTTTGGGGATTGTCATGTGTGTGTGTATGTTGAGTCTGGTCTCTGGGTGTTATGTGAATTTCATTGTATGTATGCTGTGTATATGCTACGTACAATGACAATAAACAATTCAATTCAGGGTTAAGCATGTTGCATGGATCAGAGCTAGAGAGCAGGAAACTGTCTAAATTAGCTGAAACCACAATGAATGTTGGGGACAAACATTTCTTGCTTAAATTGAGCTGATTGCAATTTATTTATATGTTGTATTTCTATCATGATGGGTTGAACATGACTTCACAACTAACAAGATTATTTCTATCTAACCGAGAGAGTCTGGGCCAGCATACATAATAAAACAAAATACACAAAAACATGTATGTAGAAAAACATTTAAACCACACTTTAAAGAAAAAAAAATGATGGCAAATGTAGTGTGCAAAAGAGAACCATCATACAACTGTCTAACCGGCTCCTCACGATCACGGGATCCCCAGATTTGTTGACAAATATTTTCAGGACATTCTGGAAAGTTAACGGGGTTGGAACCAGCCTCACCATGGGGGAAAATGAAGTTTTTCACACGGGTGGGACTAGGGAAGAAAGAGCTTTCTTCCTGGCTCTTAAATTTCACCACAATACCCATAAATGCTGTTTTGGCTGTAAGAGACCGACATGGCTACTTCTTTGGAGAAATCAGTTCGGGGGTGGGGGGGTCTTCCCAACTTGGCAACTTGGACATCAATAATTTCCAGAATTATTCAACCAGTTATGTTGGCTGAGGAATTCTGGGAATTGAAGTTCCACAAAAGTGGCCAAGACTGGAGTCCCTGCTGTGGGTTAAGGAAATAGTCACATTTTTCCTAGAAATCAGATTCAGTAAAAACCAGCATATTTTATCTTTTCTTGGGGGAGAGAGGAGAAAATGTTACTTATTTCCTTGTATTTATCTATGAAATGCATAAGCCGCCCATCTCAACGTTGAGCAACCCTGAGTGGCTCACAACACTGTAAATCATGTTTCGCCTCTAGTTTTTGGGCCCTGTGGAGGGAAGGGCAGCTTGGGTAGGACGAGGGAAACCAAAGCTCAGATCCAGACTTAACTCAGCTGATCTTTGCTCATTATTGGCCACTATTCCTATCGTTACTTTCCCCACCTTTTAAGGAAGTGAAATCTAAAGGTGAAGTTAAAAAAAAAAAAAACTACAATAAAGGGAAAAAAAGTAAAATGACATTAGATGACGTAAATCTGATTAATGTGGTAATTTTTATTTGTATCGGTATTGTTTGTTTGTATCAAAATGAATGACACTCAGATCCCCACCACATTGTCCATGAAATGATATGGATGGATGTTTAAAAATGAAAAAAACTTTACGAAAAGAAAAAGCAAAAAAGCTCAGAAGCTGAAAAATGAAAAAAACTTTACGAAAAGAAAAAGCAAAAAAGCTCAGAAGCTGAAAAAGGGCCACAAAATTGGGGTGCCAGCTGACCAAAACAGACCAACCCCTCCGACCCAGACCCACAAATCCCTGTGGAACCCCTTCTCCCCCCCGCCACCCAGAATTCCCAGCCCAGGGGCGATTGGGAACGATGGGGGTTGTAGTCTTAAACCTACTCAGGGGGCGGGGAGTACCAGGTGGAGCATGGGAGGGTGCCTTCCAGGTCCCATGGGAGTGGGGGGGTCAGGTTACTTCATCGCCCCACCCCGGCCCAGAATTCCCAGCCCAGGGGTGGTTGGGGACGATGAGGGTTGTAGTTCTAGCCTACTCATGGGGCAGGGAGTACCAGGTGGGGCATGGGGGTGTGTGTGCCTTGCTAAGTCGGATTGTGGGGGGTCAGGTTACTTCATTGCCCCCTCCCCAGGGGCAGTTGGGGACCATGGGGCTTGTAGTCCTAAACTTACTTATGGGGCGGGGAGCACCAGGTGAGGTATGGGTGTGTGTGCCTTGCCAGGCCCCATGGAGAGGGGAGAAGGGTCAGGTTACTTCACTGGCCCCTCCCCGACCCAGAATTCCCGGCCCAGAGGCGGTTGGGGACGATGGAGGTTGTAGTCCTAAACCTACTTATGGGGGGGATGACTTGCCAGACCCCACGGAGGGGGTCAGGTTACTTCATTGCCCCTTCCCCCATGAAGTATAGTTGCCTATATTACCCCACCCCAATTAAAGTGAGGCCTACCCTCTCCCTACTCGCCCCTAAAGTGGGTGGGGGGTTTGGGAAGGGAGACCCGAAGCTCGGCCTGGCTTACCTGGAAGGGATTGACGTCCACGGGATCCGCGAAGGGGTTCGCGTCGAAGGCCGACATGGCCGCTTTTTAAATTTTTTTTTCTTCCTCGCCCGCCAACCCGGGACGAAGACCCCGCCGCACCTGTTCTCACCCCGGTCCGCTTCCTGCCCCCCTAGAAACCACACACACTTCCGGGAGAAGGCTGGTTTCCGCCCCCACCTTCGGATTCCCGGCCGCGCCTGCGCAGTGACGCCCGGAGGGCGAGGCGCCCGTTCTTTTTTTTTTGCACGTGACAAGGTTAAGCCCCGCCCCCTTCACCCCCTTGTGATCTCATCGGCTGGGCGGAGGAGGAGGAGCGAGGCAAGAAGGACGCGCATGCGTAAAATTGACTTTTTTTAAAAAAAAAAAAAAGATGTGTGTTTTGGTCTCCCTTTGCCTTCCGGGAGGAAGATGCTGAGGAGGGGGAATACATTGTGAGCATGCGCACTCTTTGTGAGCATGCGCACGGCAGAAAGGTCTAGTTCGTTACCGTATTCTATGGTGTAATAGTGCTGCTGTTTATTTTTGTTTAAATGAGGCGCTCTGATTGAATGAATAGTTCCTTAATCGTATTGTTCAAATTACTTGAAAAACAGTTCGGTGTTATAAGAAAAATAAATTAGTAAAACAGAAATAAAATAAATTAGGCTTGTTCCGCAAGAGATTTCAAATTTCAAATAGTTTATATAACAGCCATATGGTCATTATTATTTTCAATAATAAAATAATATTTCAATAATAATGCGCTTTAATCTCAACCTCCTTTCTGTCATTGTTTTATTTATTTAAAGCATTTATGCTTCCACCTCACAGCTTTTGGAGGATGGGAAAGAATCATTTTTTTTTCTTAATAAAATAGTGAATAAACTTACAATATGTAACTAATAAAATAGCCAGATTTAATTGACTAACCCTGATTTGATTTCCATGCCAAATGAGAAACTAACCACGGGGACACAGCCATATAACAGAGCTGAATTATCACAGTGGCTGTTGCTTTGGTTACGGCGTAAGAAATGTTGGACTTTTGGAGCTGAGAATTACCAATAATCAATATATACCCAGCTTGAAATGGGATAAAATTCTAGTTCCAGATGTCTTAAAATTCTCGTCGAATGATTGTTGTTCCAGAATTACAAATTCCAAGACAAATTCCTTGTGTGTCCAATCACACTTGGCCAATTAAAAATTCTTATTCTATTATGGAGTTTCTGCATCACAATAAAGGCATGAAATAGAACAAAACAGACAACAGCTAATATTTTATCACAATCCTTTATTTTCCTTTGATCAAGAAACATTCCTACATGTCCTTCCTTATTAAAAAAAACAAAACCCAGCCAGCTCTTAACTGGGAATCTTCAGACAACATTTCTAAGAAAATGTTTTCATATTTTTTTTAAAAAAATTGTATTCAGAGCTTTATTAATTAGAGATATTACAAAATGTGTATTTGTCAAGCTTGGCCACTTCAAGGTGGGTGGACTTCAACTCCCAGAATTCCCCAGCCAGCCAGCCAGGGGGAATTGTGGGAATTGAAGTCCAACTCATCTTAAAGTAGACTTCAACTCCCAGAATTCCCCAGCCAGCCAGGGGGAATTGTGGGAATTGAAGTCCAACTCATCTTAAAAGTAGCTCAGGTTGACCAACATTGGGGTAGATAGATAATGTCTATATTTCTATATATGTTGTCTATATTTGTACTATTTTTATGTATAAAATTATGAGAATGCATAAATATATGTATTTATGAATTGAAAAAAAATATATATTATGTATATATTTCTGCTAAGCAGCAGGAAAACGTAACAATCTTGGCTTGGGAGGGAAGCAGTGGATGGGCACTGTAGTCCAGATCAGCAGTACATGGGTACTGTAGTCTCAAATCAACGAAAGGGCAGCTGCACCGGTGGAACCTCTGCCTGTCGTCTCTTGCTTTGTGTTTCAAAGGATTTGAAAGACTTATTGGGGGAATAAGGATCCCGGCTCCGAAGTCACTCCGATTCCGCTTTCCTTCCTCCAGATTTGCAAAAAGAAGCCACTTGCTCCGGATTGAAGAACTACATTACCCAGCTTGCCCAGCCGGTTGCCGGGAAGAGGCGTGGCGGCGACTCTTTCACTCTTTTTTTTTCTTTTTTCTTTTTCTTTTTTCGCTTCGGCTTGGCAAAAAAGAGAAAAGAGAGAAAAAGAGGAAATCGGAAATCCCAGAATGGCCAACGAGTTAAGAGGTGAGTTTGCAAAGCGAAACGAAGCAGGTTGCAAAATGCGAAACAAGGGGAAAAAAAAAAAAGAGGCGAGTTTGCAAAAATGAATGAATCTCGGCTGGGAAAAGAGCTGCCGGAGGCTGCCCGGCTGGTCTGGCCGGGTCTGGGGGGGTGGGGGGAAGGGAGAGAGAAGAAGCCCCCCTTGCACGGGCCGGAAAGGTGTGGATGCCCGAGCAAAGCTGCCTTCGTGGACGTTCGCCCGCTTAAGCGCTGTAATATGCTCTGGTGGGGCGGTGGATGATGGGCTGGGGGGTGGGGGGGGGGGGGGGGAGGGGGGGGCGGTGGGCGCGCTCCTGCATTGCAAACAGTGGGGGGGGGGGGGGGGGAGAAAAAGCGCTGATGCCCAGCAGACGCTGCATTCCTGCATTCAACGCTCCTTTGATCGCCTAAGCGCTGTATATGCTCTGGTGGGGGCGGGGGGGGGTGATGGGCTGGGTGGTTGGATTTGGGGCGGTGGGCACACTCCTGCACTGCAAAGCGGGCTGGAAAAAGCACTGATGCCCCAGCAGACGCTGCATTCAGGGTCCCTTGGCTGCCTCAGCGCTGTATACTCCGGGGAGAGGGAGGTGTGTGTGGGAATTTATTTTATTTTATTTTATTATTTTTATTATTTTATTTTATTTATTTATTTTATTATTTTATTTATTTATTATTTTTATTTTGTCAAGCAAGTATTAGATAACAAGTATAAGTATAAGCATGGTTATGAATACATGAAGTGGATACGAATAAAAGGGAACCATAGGACAGGGACGGTAGTCACGCTGGTGCACTTATGTCACGCTGGTGCACCTTAAAGTCCTCTTAGGCACGGGGTGAGGTCCACGGTAGACAGTCTAAGGTTAAAGTTTTGGGGGTTTGAGGCTGTAACCACAGAGTCAGGGACTGAGTTCCAGGTGTTGACCCCTCTGTGGCTGAAGTCGTATTTTCTGCAATCGAGTTTGGTGCGAGTTTACCTTGAGTTTGTATCAGGTAACAGATAATCAGAGTTGGAAGGGACCTTGTAGGTCATCTAGTCCAACCCCCCCGTTGCCCAAGCGGGAGACCCTACACCATTTCTGACAGATGGCAATCCAGTCTCTTCTTGAAGGTCTCAAGTGATGATGAACCCACAACTTCCAAGGGCAACTTCTGTTCCATGGGTTGATTGTTCTCCCTGTCAGAAAGTTTTTCCTTATTTCCAGGTTGAATCTCTCTCCTTGTTCAGTTCCCATCCATTATTCCTTGTCTGGCCTTCAGGTGCTTTAGAAAACAGCTTGACCCCTTCCTCCACCTCCTCTGGGGAAGCCCCTCAAATATTGGAAGACTGCTATCCTGTCTCTCCCGGTCCTTCTCTTCCCTAGTCTAGCCAGGCCCAGTTCCTGTATCAGTTGTTTGCCTGTGTATTGTTGTGGTTGAAGCTGAAGTTACAATACCTGAGAGGATGCCCAGGTGGGGGAGAACGTGCTTTTCAAACCCTACCCACCTTCTGGTATCTGCTCAGAGGGAATCTCTAACCTGCCGATTTAGAGAAGCCGCTTGGAGTCACATAACTTCCTTCCCCCTCACCTTATAGCGGGGAGGGTATGGGCAGGGTCTGAAATTGAAACAGGGAGGGAGGTCAGACCAGGATGTAGGGTAGAAAGTGCCTGGAGACACCCCCTCCTCTCCTTGCAGTAATCCACAATTTCTCCCAAGCTCACCTGGGCTTGGAAACTAAGCTGAGTTAAGCCTGTGGCGGGATTGTTTTCCAAATTATCCCGGGAAGTAAGTTTTATTTATTTTTAAAATAAAAATCCAGGTAAAACCTTCATGGTTCTCCCTGCAAAGATGCGTCAACCAGAGGTGGTATATTCAGCCAGTTCTGGAGAACCGGTCGCAGAAATTTAGAGTACTTTGGAGAACCGGCAAATACCGCCTCTAACTGGCCCCGCCCCCATCTATTCTCCACCTCCCGAGTTCCAGCTGATTGGCTGGGTCTTCTTTGGTTGCCCTGCACAGGAGAACAGAGCTGGAAAGTAGGTCAGTGGGCTGGGGAGGGAATAGGGATTTTGCAGTATCCTTCCCCTGCCGTGCCCACTAAGCCACGCCACACCCACCAAGCCATGCCCACCAGAGCCGGTAGTAAAAAAAAAAAAATTGAATCCCACCACCGGCGTAAACAATCCACCTTAACAATTAACTAAGATGTGTGAATCTGTCTTTGGGGGCTTCGGTGGGGAGGTTTTTTCCCCCGGCTCTTCTTGCAGATGCTGGTTCTGAAATGGAGACCTCTGCCTGGCAAGGAAAGGGATGTGCTGGGGTTGTGAGCCACTGTGGTCGCTTCTGAGCCAAAAGGAGATCAATTTGATCCAAGTTTGCCCGACGTATAATATTTCTGTCTGGGGAGGAAGGTTCCACTCGACCTCTCGGGATTTTTGCACGGAGGAATGGATGCAGGAAAATCTGCACAAATCCGTCGTTGTCTCTCACTCATCTCAGTCTGCCCCGAGATGTTCCCAAAATAGCCATTTATCTCAGGGCAGGGCAGGCACGCAATGTTACCCTTTGGAACTGCTGCAGCTGTTTGTAGCAAATCAAGTGTCCCTGTAATCTTAATCTTAATCCCTTGTCATCCTTTATCCCTTCGCTTTTCTCTCGGCGGCAACAAACAGATAGAAACGGCCCAATTTATTATTATTTTTTTAAAAAAAAGGGAGAGGGGAGATTATACTTTGCACTTTGTTGGCACTGCTTGTTGTCTTGCAGCGAAATCTACCCTAGATATATTAACTGGCTGATTGGAACCCAGAAAAAGATTTAATCTTTAATCCTACTGGATTTTTTTTTGAGATAAACCCAAAATCGGCTGGGTTCCTTAGCAGAGACATACAGGAAGTCTGGACTTGCAAAATTGTAATGGTGAGGTTTGCACGGCACGCTTTGTAATTTAATTTGGAGGTTGAAGCGAGCAGAAAAGAGCGTTTAATACTTCTTTGCAAGGCCGTGTCCTGGATTCCTTTCTCCCTGCGTTAGATAATTCTAGGTGGAGGATAGTTGAACACTAGAGAATTTTTCGGGTAGGAGATGGCCGGGCTGAGCCCGAAGAAGGGGTCAAATCTGTCATCAGTCATGAATCCCTGTGTGCCCATAACAGATCCTAAGTCCTGTCCACATTGAATTCCTCCTTTCTTAACTCCCAGTAATTTGCCTGGACCATTAATAGTTTGGATTCTTGAAATGGTGCGGTAGCCTAGAGATGGGGCTCTTGCCTCACAACCAGGAGATTGTGAGTTCGATCCTAGGTTAGAGTCAGATATTTCTGGGCACGTTGAGATTATATCTGCTGAATAAATATAACTCCACATTGGTGACACGAAGGGCATCCATCCGGCCAGTAAACACTCTGCTAGCACCATTCGGTTTGCCCAGATGATTAAAAGTTCAGATTCTTCTAGAGGACTTAAGCTTGCAATAAATCTTTATCATCATTTGGACTGCACGAATCTCCTGATTTCACCCGCGCTTGACATTTTTATTTACTTTGTATGAAATGATAACCTTGGGTGGTGGGGAGGGGGGAACCAGCTTTCCAGAACCATCTTTCAACCCAGATTGAGTAACCTGTACTCGGTTATAAGATGGTCAGTGAGATGGTGATGTTTGTGAGATGAATGTCCTTGAATGACTTCCTCTCCTTCTCCTTCTCCTCCTTCTCCTCCTTCTCCTCCTCCTCCTCCTCCTCCTCCTCCTCCTCCTCCTCCTCCTCCTTTTCTCTCTTTTTGACTCACTCAGTGTTTCCCCTGGCCTGTGCTGTGCAGAACTACGCGTGGGGTAAGCCAGGACGGGACAGCCAAGTGGCCAAGCTCTTAGAAAGCAATGATCCGATGGCACAGATTGACGCTGACAAGCCCTACGCTGAGGTGAGTCCTTGTTCTTGCAGATCAAACCAAGTTTCCGGCATCCATTTTTCAAAAGTTCACTCTGGTCTTCCTTCACACGAAGCCGAAGAAACCTAATGAGTTAAAAAAAACAAAGCAAAAGAAAGTCTCGCTCACAGCCGTCCCCAAAGACAAGATTTGGGAGTCACGGCCATCTCCGTGAGGGTGGCGGGTCACCTCGATTGAGGTGGGGCCGTTGAGATTACTGCCAACACATACTTGTATATATATATATGTGTGCCTTCATGTCAGTGTTGACTCCTGACGATTGGCCTGGGAAAAAGTCTTTAAGAAATGGTTTGCCATTGTTTCCTTCCTTGGGCTGAGAGAAAGTTACTGGCTCAAGGTCGCTCAGTTGGTTTCATGCCTAAAGTGGGACTAGAACTTCCCATCTCCTGGGGATTGGCCCAATGTCACCCAGACAGCTTTAATGCCTAATGCAGGACTAGAACTCACAGTCCCCTGGTGATTGACCCAAAGTCACCTAGTTGGCTTTCATACCAACCATGGGACTAGAACTCACAGTCCCCTGGTGATTGACCCAAAATCACCTAGCTGACTTTCATACCAACCATGGAACTAGAACTTACAGTCTCTCAGTTTTTAACTTCTAGACCACAAGGGAAACAAATACGTTTGGCCGATCCCTTTGCTAAGACTCGACATGCTTCTTGGGTGGGTTGACTCAATATGTGAAGCCATGATTGATCTAACCAGGATTATAACATCCATGACAATGAGCTGGGCTCACTTTTCATGTTATGCCATACCCCAAGGTGCTCTGGGATCCCTAGTGCCACTTTTCTTTTCCTTTCCAGCTCTGGATGGGTGCTCACCCCAAGGGAGATGCGGTCATTCTGGACAACCGCATTCCCCAGAAGACGTTAAGCCAGTGGATCGCGGATAACCCTGCCTGCCTGGGGTCAAAGGTGAAGGACAGCTTCCAAGGTCAGCTGCCTTTCCTCTTCAAAGTGCTGTCGGTCAATACAGCTTTGTCCATTCAGGCCCACCCGACCAAGGTAAGGGCTTTTCCTTGGATGTGCGGGGGAATATTTTGCCATTTTCCAATTGTGGTTTCCCTTGGCTGGTGGCCCTCTTGGGGATCGGTGTTATTATATGTCCGATATTAACTCTTTTTCTTTTGGGGGGTGGGAGGTATGTGGTGTGCTCTGATTTTAGAACCTTACACTATATTTTTTGTGGGGGGAAATGAGTTTCAAAACAGCAGAAAATTACACGGCATTTAGAAGAAGCTTTGGGTTTCAGAGTCATAAGGGTCATAAGATTTTTGTGGAATTTAATGGCTGAGAGTTAATGGGGTATTTACATTTTTAAATTGTATAGAGATTATTGTACGGTCTGTTGTGTTTAATTTCATTTTTCTTTCAATGGTGTTGTCCAGTTTTACTTGTGGAAGAGCACCTCATTTCGTTGCACCCGCTTGCGAGTGTAATGACAAATAAATTCTTATGTCTATGTCTTATGTCAGAAAATGGTCGGTGTAGAGAACATGGCTTGCCACTACTATTGTATAGCAATAGTACTAACACTTGAGACTTATATACCACTTCAAAGTACTTTCCAGCCCTCTTTAAGCGGTTTACAGGGTCAGCCTGTTGCCCCCAACAATCTGGGTCCTCATTTTACCCACCTCGGAAGGATGGAAGGCTGAGTCAACGTTGGTCAGGATCAAACTGCTGGCAGTGAGCAGTGAGTTAGCCACTGCTAACTCAATAGAGGGAGGGAGGGAGGGAGGGAGGGAGGGAGGGAGGAAGGAAGGAAGGAAGGAAAACAACAATAGCACTTAGACTTATATACAGCTTCACAGTGCTTTACAGCCCTCTCTAAGCGGTTTACAGAGTCAGCCTGCTGTTTCCAACAATTTTGGGTCCTTGTTTTACCCACCTCAGAAGGATGGAAGGCTGAGTCAACCTTGAGCCTGGTGAGTTTTGAACTGCCAAATTGCAGGCAGCTGACAGTCAGCAGAAGTAGCTTGCAGTACTACACTCTAACCACTATATCACCACGGCTCATGCAAAGTCTTCTTTGGCTCAAGTGGTAGAACCCAAAACACATCTACATGCTTTTCTTGGTAGCCTTACAGAAGTGATTTGTTACTGTCTTCTTCTAGAAAGACTTTTTTTTTTTGACTTCGCAGTGTAACCCATAATCCTACTAGTGCTTGTTCTGTTTCCCATCCCAAGGATAACTTGGTCTAAGCCTGCTTATCTTCTAAAGATCGCCCAAGGTTGGTTAGGTTGCTGCTCCTTAAATCGGGTCTTCTGTTATGTATGACGAGGTCTATGATGGCATTGGAGAGTCAAATATAGGTAGGCAGTTTTGTCTTGGGTTCTACCACAAGAGATGATGGAAGCAGTGGGGAAGACCAGGGTTAATTTCAGGGTCAAAATGGACCATGTGTGCTGGATCTGGGAGCATTAACAGAACATTACACAGGGGATAGATTATCAAGCCAGTTAGGTTGACTTTAATCTCTGTTGGGTTCCAACTCAGCTGCTTATTACAGAAGGAACCTTTTGGACCCATCTCCTAATTGTATTGCTTTGGGGTCATTTCTGATCCTTTGGGATTGGGTCACTACTTTTCACTAGTCCGCCTCTCTGTGCATCTGAGGTCTCTCCCAGATTCTGCGATCCATCGATCAGAAAATGATCAGGTATCAGTTCAATGATCAAAGCCGACTTGGACGCTGGCCTTACCCATTGTCCGTTTCTCCTCTCCTAGGAATTGGCAGAGAAACTTCATGCTCAGTATCCAGAACACTATCCAGACACCAATCACAAGCCTGAGATGGCCATCGCTCTAACCCCCTTTGAAGGCCTTTGCGGTTTCCGGCCTGTGGAAGAGATTGTAGCTTTCCTTCAGTGTAAGTGTGCGAGGGGAAGGAGGAAAAGGATCACCAGATCCTAGAAAGATAAATGATCTGAGCTTAGTAGATCCTGGGAGTTTTGGACAGAAGGTTTCTTACTTAGAACGTTGCATTGGGAAAACGTTGAGAAAACGTTGCATTGGGAAAACGTTGAGAAAACGTTGCGTTAGAACTGTAGGAACCTCGCTGGATGATTAGTTAATGACTTTTTTTTGTGTTAAAGTAACAGTGGAGCAATATAATCTCATTCCTATCCTGAAACTTGAGATATTCAAGTTTCACGTTAGAGAAGGTGTAAATTCCAGACACGAATGAGCGGTCACCTTTTCTCCAAAGGTGTTTTCCCCAAATGGGGTCAACCTCAGTAGGTAGACTACATCATGAGATCCACTCTGCAGGAAGGCTAAAACTACTCTGATGGAGATTGGCGATCTCCACCAAGGTCATCTCTTGTGTTCTGTATAATCCAAGAGACGACATGGAAGATCAGCCACCCATCAGTTAGGGTGGATGCCCACCATCTCTCTGGCCTTTCTACAGATGTCCCTGAATTTCGAGCTCTGATCGGGAATGTAGCAGCGGAACAACTGGAGCGAAGTGGGAGGGATGACCCCCGTGGTGTGTCAGCTGCTCTGAGGGTCTGCTTCACCAGGATGATGAAGAGCGAGAAGAAGGTCTTTGTTGATCACCTCAACCAGCTGGTCAAGCGGATTTCCCAGGAAGGTTAGTCATATAGGAGATCAGGACAGGTTAATAGAGGTGCGAGCTAGACTCCGTGTTCCTGAAGTCACAATTCTTGATAACTCTAGTCTAGTCAATGTGACCCGAATCCTAAGCTAAAGAAGGCTGGGTTTTGTAGTCATCTCTGGGTGTTTCGGTGGTTCCAAGTTTGGTTTTATGAAGGATGGTAAAATTGACCTTGGGGGTTAAGGAAAGAACAAATACACCAGGGCTTTTTAAACTTGATCGCTTTAAGACTTATGGACTTCAACTCCCAGAATTCCTCCTTTAGTCATGTTAGCTCAGGACTTCTGGGAGTTGTAGTCCACAAGTCTTAACCTTGCCAAGTTCGAAGACCTTTGGAGTACGCCATTAAGAGCTCTCTTCCAAGCTATGGATTTCTTTAAGGAGCCATTAGGGTTGAAGTCCTTCAAGATCCCTCTTTTCCCTGGACTTGAGCTCTGGTGAACCTCAACAAGGTTCCCATCATCCTGTTTCCAAAGACTGGAGGCTCTCTTCCCTATTCTGAAGGGTCAATTTTGGGGATTCTTCTGTAAGGCTAATCTGAACACGCTGACATGTACCAGGATGAAGGTGTTGATGGCACCATAAAAAGCCTGTTCTGGGATTCTGCTTGGTACATTCTTAAACTACACACTGCATTCTTTAAAAAAGGGAAAAAAATTATAAATGTATATAATTAAAACAACATTCCATTCCAATTCAATTCTATCATTAATATTAATATTCATTAAAGTCTTAACATTTTTAACGTTACTTTTCAATTAAGTATCATACTTCTATGGGAATGGAAGTTATGTATTATATTGAGTGTTACAACTTTAGGGAAAAGATATAAAGGCGTCATATTCCAATCAGTAACCACAGGAGAAATTTTGTTTAATGAGAAAAGATAGTAGACAATTGAAACAGGTCAGACAAAAAATATAAATAGAATGAGTTGAACTGAGATGAAATAAATAAAATAAAATTGAGAAAATTAAAACAGGGGAGAAGCTATGCAGAAAATGTAAAATAGTAATAAGATATGGAATAGAATATAAAAATGAGCATGAACCCGAATTTGCGTCTGTACGAAGAAATGTAACCTGGGATTACGCTGCTTTCAAAAAAGATGTTTTATTTGTATTTTTGTTTCTTTTTGTGAAAACTCAAATAATTTTTTTTTTAAAAAAAAGCGTATCCTGGACCAATCCTTGCTCAACTCTCTTTCCCGTGTCTTATTCTTCAGCCGCTGCAGGAAAAGATATTTCAGCCAGTTGTGGAGAACTCCTTCTCAGGTTACACTCTCAATACCCAGGCGATATCGGTTGCTTTGTTATCTACTTCCTGAACCAGATGAAGTTGCAGCCTGGGGAATGCATGTTCTTGGGAGCCAATGAACCTCACGCCTACCTCTATGGAGGTGAGTTCCTTCCCAGGAAGCAAGTATCTGCACGGAGTGGGCGGGGGGAGAAAATTGGCATTTGGGGTCTCTTTTAACCAAGGATTAAGCCAGAGTTGAGTCCCCACATTATCTAAGCCAGAATTCCTCAACTTTGGCCAGTTTAAGATGTGTGGACTTTCAATTCCAGAATTCTTGGGAATTCGATCACCTTGGTCACTTTTAAGATGTGTGGACTTCCAACTCCCAGAATTCCCCAGCCAACATGGCTGGCTGGGGAATTCTGGGAGCTGAAGTCCACACGTCTTAATAGTGCCAAGGTGACTTCAAAAGCCATAATGTGACTTCTGATTCTGTGTGAGATTTGAGCACCTCTGCTTAACGAGTGTCCTTACTCTACAGACTGCATCGAATGTATGGCCTGTTCCGACAACACGGTGCGCGCTGGTCTGACGCCCAAATACATCGATGTTCTGACCCTGTGCGAAATGTTGAACTACACACCAGCTCCTGCCAGCTCAAAGTTGCTGCCCCCTATTCAAAGCCGCCTGGATCCTTGCATCTCCCTGTATGACCCCCCCATTCCAGATTTTGCTGTCATGAGGATAGAGGTAAGGAGTCCCACTCTTGTGAAATCACAAATATAATGGGTAGCTTCCATTAAGAGTCATAATAATTTATTCTGATAGCATCCCAAAAATGTCTTTGGGGAGAATTTTCC